TTTGTATTTGTTCAAATAATTGCTATGGGCAGGTTACAAAATAAAAAAAAATGTTTGTCATAATCATGTCTTGTGATTATTTGACAGGAGTTTTACTTTTAAAATGTAAGTGTATTTAATTTAGTTATGTTAGTTATGATAGTTTAGTTATGATGTAAATACAATAAAAATTAAACCAAAATATAGAATAATTATCATTTTGATCCGTACATTGGTAATGTCTGACTGGGCCTCCTGCCACTTTATGTTCAACAAATTGGGCCTCGAGGTCAAAAAGGTTAAGAACCCCTGCTTTAACCGACTCAAACCCCACCTCTCACCCCGCCCATCATCCTATATGTGACCTACCTTCCTCCGGAGCCACCTCGTTGCACCTGCAGCCAGGAGTCGTCCACAGGAGGCGGCACAGCCGTGGTCACGGTGGTTGTGCTGATGTCGCCGATGATGCTGAGGGCCTCCCGTAGAGCATGATACATCCGGAGCATCTCGTCACGATGCTGCGCCTGCTCCTGAGACTCCTCCATCAGCGTGTTTTGGTCTCCACACGAGTAGAGCTGGGCTAGCAGCTCAGCATTAATGAACTCTTTAGTCTGAATCAAAACAGAGAAACATTTAATTAAACAAACAAACAAAAAAAAATCAAAGTCTTCTCATCTCCACACGTTTCGCCAAGCTGTCGCTGTGCGGGCGACTCACGTTGTTAATCATCAGATGCATGATGGTCTTCGGCATCAAGTCCCGTACGGTCTTGTTGACAATGGCCATGTAGGAGTCAACCAGGTTGCGGATGGTCTCCACCTGCCGCTCCAGCTGAGGGTCCATGCTGTGCATGAAGCTGTCAGCGCCATTATCATCCCCTCCTTCGCTCTGTGGAGACAAACGAGGGATGAGCTGCACAAACACAGCTGTCACAGAAGATAAGAGTGAGTCAGTGTGAACATACAGATACTGTAGGTGGTGTGCTGCAACGAATGTTAGGATGTTCCTTTAATGTTTTGTTAGCTTATTGTTAGCCTGAACGTAAGGCCCTTAGTCATGCAAGCAGGACTTTGAACATTTAATATTCAAATCACAAAGTGTTAGTTTGACTCAAACTGTATATAAATGTGAAAACTGATTAAAAAAAACATTATAAAAAACAGTCTATACGTTACAAAAAATAATGTGCATTTATTTCAGTTGAGAAATATTTGTAATTGTGTTTAGAATATTAAAAATGTTTCAAAAATAATATTGTTTTCCATTATGCCTTGAAGCAGTATTATTTTTTTAATTTATTTTGACATAAAAAATGGAAGAAAGCAGTTTTTTATCCTTTTTAAGTGTATCAAGTGTAGCCAGTTGTGATGAATGCTTTGCAAATAATCAGATTATTATTAAATTAAAATGATTTCCTTATTATTAAGAGGAATCCAAACTATGAATTTATACATTTTAATCACTTTGGTTGTGCAGAATATACTAGGATGATGTTAACGAAAGACATGTTGAATTTCGTACCTTTCCTTCCTTCTCCTATGAGTTGAAACATGAAAAGACATTAAAAAGGACAAACTTTATATGAGACACGACAACTTTGAAACTGACAAAAACACAAACATCTGGAAAAAGTGAAAGGTAGGTAATTGCAAGTGTTCATACTTTTATATATTATGACTATGAATCAAGTTATTCCAAAAATAAAAAATAAAAAAAGAAGAAAACATTTTTGTTGTTGTTGTTGTTTTAAATGAATCTTACTGTAACTCGCTCAGGATAAACTCCAGCTCTCAGGAAGGAGGCCTTCCACGCGTCAACATCCTCCTGACTCTCACAGGCCAGCTCCAGCTGACGGTAATCTTTGTACACGTTTCTGTGAACATTTAATAAATCAAACACATGACATCTGAGCAGCTAAACTAATGAAAAGTACAATTATTCACATACTTAATATCAAAAACCATGTAGCTAAATTGGGACCTTTTACTAAAAACTAAGTCATTTTCATCTTTTGGAGCACGAGTCAAACTGAAGGCCCGCGGGTCAAATCTGGCCTGTGTTAACATTTTATCTGGCCCCAAAAGTTATGCTTTAAATCTGAAAATTGTTTTATGGTTTCTCCTTTTATCACGTTATTTAGTGAATTCATCTCATGACGGCTGAGCATCTTTCAAGTATATTAAGTTTTAATTTTTCAGTAATATTTGATTTTGGTGTTGAAAGAGAACAGAACACACTTTAATTATCAAATGGTGTGTTTTTTTGTATTATTATTTTAAAGTCAAATAATTGGATTTTTAGTGACTGCTTTCTTTTTTACTTGTTTTTCTGGAATTTGATAAAATGTATCTCCAAAATAAATGGAAAAAGTTGATGATAGAGAGTAAAGCTTTCGTTTTTGCCCCCTCTTGTGTAACTGTGTTTAACACCCCCGCTTTAGAGTAATATTTCTGTAAAGCTTCCATCACCAGTGTGACCTGGTGGTGTGTAATTCTCTAATTTTAACTTTCTGGAGAACATGCCATTGTGACATTTATGTGTGTGTGTGGGACATGAATATGTCAAGCTGCACCTCTGCTCGGTGTTGAAGAGGGCAAAAATGTGCTTGCTGGACATGAAGCCCTTCTCCACGTCGCGCAGTTTCAGGTTGTCCACAGGCAGCATGTACTTCTTCTCCTTCTCCTGCAGGGGGCAACAGAGTGACACAACAGTGAGGAGGAACCATTGCAAGCTTGAAGAAGAAGTTTGGTTTGACACTCATTAAAAAATGATCCTTGAGATTTACTGCTGCACTGAAGCAGTCAGACAAGAGTCAATTACCTCATCAGGATCATTACGAGGCAGGAAATTTAGAATTAATACAAGCTGAACAGGACCGTGGAATCAATTTGAGAACCGTAAAGAAAAATTTGATTAAAAGACCAAAAAATTTTTAAAAAAGGAAGCAGATGAAAGAACTTAAATGTTCCCCATGTAAAGTTGTCTGTTTAATAAAACGGAAAAAGGAGAAAAGGGAGATTGGGAAAGTCAAACAAAGCTTCTGGTTTTGATTAGAGGCACAAAACATGGCAAGCAAAAATGACACACGCACACACACAATTATACAAAGACTGAAAGTTTAAAAATCTCTTTTTAGTTGTAAATCTCCAGACATCATGTGATATACAAACTTTTTCTGTATCAGGAAACCTCAGCGTTAGTCACTTCGGTCAGAGACATGGCAGCACTTTAATTCACACAAACGCACACACACACACTCACACACACAGCCTGTGTTGTGGTTAGAGACTCTCCTAAATCTATTGTTGGAAACTGTGTGTCTACGCAAGAGTGCGAATGTTTTACCACGCACGGTAAAAATAACAATTAAAAAAATTGCACTCTAAAAATAAACGAGAGTCACGGAGTTTCTAAAAACTAAACACACACACACACACGCACACACACACACACAC